CTCCTCTCCATACACACACACACACACACACCACACACCCCACACACCCATACACACACACACACACCCATACACACACACACACATACACACACAGCACACACACACACACACACACACACCCACACACACACACACACACACACACACACACACACACAACACCCGAGGAGGAGGAGAAGGAGAGACAGAGTCGGGGAGGGAGGGTGCTCTATAACCTCAGAAAGCACAAACTGATGCAAAGTTCTGTGAATTTTGATCTTACGACCTGAAGGTGAAGGGCAAACTGTTTCATGCCTGATAATAATCTGATTTTAAAAAGTAGATGGAGAACCCAAATCTCTTGTTCTACTTATTAAATTCATTTCTCATTGTCAACAACTATACTATAGGTCAGCATTATTAAGCAGTTACACTAAAATTCCAGTTTCAGAATATACTTCCTTCTAAAGACAACGAGCTACAGCCAGGACAGAAATAAGGAATGTAAAACGCCTCTACCGGCCCATGTCAATGCTGAATGTCCTCTGGCTTCAAAGTAGCTCACTTTCATATTTACTTTAGAATACACAGGGCCCGATGCCTACCACACTCAAACTTGGTGGCAAGTACCCTTGACATGGGAGGAAACAAGAAAATTACAGCAACAATTACAGAAGCGTACCCTCTTGTGGCTCATGTTAACATTGCCAAATCCCTGTGTAAATCAGAACCAACGGTTCACAGAGTGTACCTGTCAGCAATCTGCTGGGTGACACATGGCTCTGCTTAATGGAATATTCCTGCAAGGCACTGTGTTAGCCGTCAGTCATTTGCAGTCTGATGTGGTTTCAAACATTTAAATATTTATGTACCGTATTTTATTTATGTGTATAGCTGTGTCTAGGAGAATAATTTTTTCTTTGGGAGAAAACTGATTATTTTGAAGGACATTTTGCAGTAGTTGCTTCAGTGAGTCTTCTTACAAAGCTCTGACACCAAGGCAAAATGTCCAGGGTTTAAATGCTCTATCAAGTCTTCTCTTCTGTTTTCTACGTTTGTTTTTTATTAAATGCATTGTTCAAAATATGAAAAAAAAACCCTAGAAATTGGAGCTATGGAAGTTTTTTTTCACGTTGCTATTTGAACCAGCTGCAAAGATTTAGATCACACTAGCTCTTATTTTACGCATGTCCTTTGCAACAAGAAAACCATGGAATGCCCTTAAAAAAGACTTAAAATATAAACCAGATGTGTTATCTTCTTTCCCTTTGCTATTGTAGTACCATGTCAAGCAATTAATTTCTTAGTCTTGTACAGGTCTTCATGCATTTAAAGTGAACATTCAATTTTATTTTTATAAAATCTAATTCTCATAAACATTTTAGGTTAGAGAACTTTAAAAAATTAGAACTATTTATTTAATAAAATCTTTTCCATAAAGACAGACAAGTTATTCTCATAAAAATTCTCCCTGCCCCCACGTCCTCTTCCTTGTCCCCAGGAAACTTTTACAGAAGCAGGTTTCTCCCAGCACCTACTGGTTCCTGCCACCGGAAGAGGTCAGTGCAGGAGAAAAACCCACCCCAGAAGCCTGCTCCACACAAGTGTTAGGAACATGAGCAAAATGGGGACAAAGGTCTCAGCTTAAATGGGGACTAAATGTGAGGCTGACACAATGTAGCAATACAAATTAATGCCAAAGCAGGAGTGACTTATGGCTGTGTCTCTGGATGTGTTATCCTCCAAACACTCTGTGGGACTGTTTCCATGTGGCCAGACACTGACAGGCCTTCCATTTTAAATATGACATTCAGCATTGATTTATATGTCTTCCTGTTTTTTTTTTTGATATGAACAATTTTTTGAAAAATTATAAAAGTTACTATGATTCTATGAATATAAGAATATTTTAGTAATCAATAGGGCACTATGTCAGCAAAGGGAAAGGCTAGATGCTCTATTTCCAGGTTCTACCCTGCTGTGCACGCTCACTTTTGTCTGAGAATCTGGAAGGCCTTCTGGAAGCCCCCTCAGAGTGTCTGCAATGAACACCTAGACACTCTGAAGCATGCCGAAGCTGAAGCTAACACTAAGTAAAGCCACAGCACTCTGAGAGAAATCCCTGGGGAGATGCTACTTTGCACCCAGATGTGGTACATGAGTGATAAGTGGATGGGCATGACCTCTGGTGTGTGTGTGGAACCTCACGTGCCAAAGTTTCCTAAAGAGAACTCTTGTACGGCTTTATCTGAATGAAGAAGGCCAGCACACAGCCATGTCCATCCGGTTCTCTCTTCTCTCACGTTCTGGTTTGTGTTTAACTCACAATTACAAGTGATAACACGGAGCGTTTGATAACAGATCACATGCGGCTGGACTGCAAACTATTCTGGGTTGTGCGTACCTGCTGCCAAGCTTGGATCGCGGTGTTTAGGGAATGAACGGCATGCTGCCCAAAGTTCACGAGCACAGAGTCCATGATCACCGTGCCATCCAGCATCTTCTGCTCCCCGTCGCTGGAGAGTGACATCTGTCCAGAGACGCAGAAGGGATTCACCACACTTTGCATTGTGACGTTTCTGCACTCCAGAAGTTTGCAGTCCACCTTAGATGAGAACCGGATCTCCTGGCAGACAGAGTCACTGTTCCACTGGCGAAGATACAGGTTTGGCTCTTTGAAGGAGATAACCATGTACTCTAGTTCAGACGGCACGTTTTTATCGGAAACGAAGGGCTGTAGGTGCTGTGGTGAAGCTTTTAAGAAAACAAGACAAACAGCAGTCAGGATGTGCCACTCCTTCATGGAAACAAATGAGATGACTTTTAAATGGATCACTCTGTTCTTCAATTTTGTACTTGGTAGTCACAAATTTAAACAACAGATTTGAAGATATTAAAAACTTTGAATTACCATTTGACACTTGCAAAATACATTGTTCTGTTCAATCAAGTCTCTTAAATGTCTATTTCCCGAAGGTTGTTTTCACTCCCACAGAAAAAAATTTGGATCACAGAGGAGACAACCACTCAAATCTCCAAGCAGCAAAGACATGACTCGGGAAAAGGCAGTTAAGCTCTGTTCCTGCTGAGAAGGCAAGGCACTCAACAGCAGCTATGTCCGGTTTCAATCTCCCCCCTTTGCCATGATATGAAGGTTGAGAAAAACAAAGCCTAACTCAAACTATACCAACCAGAAAAGCAATGACACTGAACACAACCCGTGGGTGGGAAATAACTGTCCAAGGAACACTGGGAATTTATAGGAGCCTACTTTTGCCAAGTGGGGGAAATTTATTCATACTTGTTTTAAGTATGTGAAAATGTGAATCTTGGAATTTAATGAGAATGTGCCCATCTTTTACAGAATAGGTATCTTGAATTCAGGTGATAAACACCAGGTACTGCTGGGATCTATTTCCCACTAGTGTAGGATACAGACATGTCTTTTTTTTTTTTAAAAAAAAAATCATAATTGGAATATCAGTAAAATCGGCAGTTAAAAAAAACTTCCCGGAAAGTTCTCTTAGGAAACAGGTCAAAATATGCTGCTATAATGCCACTTGGTTACACCTGTCGCACTGGATCAGCTTCAGGTAACCTTGCTCTGCCCAGGGCTGGTGCTGGTGAGGTGAGGCACTGTGTGGGGACACTGAGTCCCACCTACCTGTGCCGAGCTGGTCCAAATGATGACAAAGACGCAACTCCAGGTGAGCACACTGGAAGGATATGCCGAGGGACGGGACAAACCAGGGGGTGAAACAGGAGTCGACTCGGGTGCAAGCCGCCAGGGCCGTGGGGGTCACCAGTGGCTCGCAGGTGCTTTGGGAACCAGACTCACTTACAGAGCTGTGGGAACAAAAGCAGCTCAGCAACCGCCATTTCCTGATAACGCAGAAGCTCGATGTCTCCTTAAAGGCCTCTAAAGCCTGACTGAAAATCCTGCAGTCTTATATTCATCAACAAGTGTCATGTATTGCGCACGCGCACACACACACACACACACACACACACACACACACACACACACACACACACACGAGTTCTCTTTTTTAAAAAAAAATTCAATTTATGCTGGAATGCTCTATTTGGATTATTTGCACAAAACTTTTCAAACTATTCTTCAGCCTCCATGAATGCTGACTTAGACCAAATCCAATTTTTCCCCATTCTCATTTCACAAAACTTATGGAGAGTTTGGTGTGGTGTCACACTGGTGTGGAGAGAACACAATTCTGACTGCGACTGTGCTGTTTAAAAACCTCAAGCTTCTTCTATCACCACAAATGTTTCATCACTGTTTGACTTCTCCATGGTGTCCGTACCTGTATTCTGCGAATTAATCTGTATTACTTATTGAAGACCCAATGAATATTGCATTACGTGGTATAAAGTTATGACCATGCACAAAGAAAGTGGTCCTGTGGCTAATCACACGGCAAGAATTCTCTCTTAGCTCGCGTATCCTCATAAGATTATGTTCTATAGTGGTCTGGTTAAAATGAAGGGTGAAGTGACCCAGTCTCAGAAGAATCAAGTCCTCAGCTTTCAAAGATATCACACCCAGCTGGTGACTTCATTTGCACACTTATACAAAAGACTCATCTCCTGGGGCAGGGAGTGGACACAGATAGGGAAAGAACTCAGAAGGACGGCGTGGATGTGTGGGACTCTCTAAGGTGTGTGTGAGCCTTTCCACAGTGGTTATGAAAAGACTGGGGAGGACAAAGCAGAAACACAGCAACATGCCTACTGAGTGGTCGTAACTGCAGTTTGACACCGACAACAGACAAAATACAGATTCCAGGGCTCCATAACTGAACAAACACTGTGCACAAAACTGTAGCTATGACTGAAGATAAAGCTGCTCTTCAGCTCGGGCTGGCCTGGAACTCCCTGCCACCCTGCCTCTGCTGCCATTGTAGGTATGCATCACTGTGCCCGACACGAGGAATTCTTAGGGTGTCTCTAAGTGGGAACACTGGGTTTGCAAACTTCCTACGAACTTGTGTGTGAGGTCTCATGAAATTCCATCGTCAGGATTAAAAAGGTTTACCTGTAGGAGGAGTATCTATTAGTTGTTACTGCTCTTAATATACTTAATATACCACAGTAAGGAAGCTGTAGGGAAACAGGCAGAAATAGAAAGTAAAGCCTCACAATCCATATTATTTATGTTTAACTAACAATTTGTCTTCATGACCAATCAGAGTGTTTACAGGGCTTTACTGTTGCTCACTTGTAAGAGTCTGGGAAAACAGCTCCTACAAGTAATAGCTCTGGAATCAGGCAGAACCCATGGTCCAGTGCTGTGCTGATCACCTTGAAGTTCAGTTGTAAACCCAGCTGTTTAGAAAACAGCCCAGATAGAGAAAACACAGCAGGGCTTTTACAGGCCTGTCTCCC